TGTTTATATCTAATAAAGTATTAGCAAGATTGCTAAATTAACAAAAAAAAAATAGTAGATTAAAATCTTCAAAATCAATTTCTAGTAAAATAAAATTAATAAGTTTATATTCTTGTAAGTTTGTTGAAAAATCACTTGCTGGATTTTTTAAAACATTTGAAGAATTTCTTGAGAAGAATGAATCATTTAGCTTATCTAGTGCTTTATCTTTCAATTGTTATAGATTTATCATTACTATAAAGTGCATATACAAGATTCTCTCAAATAATAGATTTACCATGAATTAGACCCGGGCATGAACCACAAAATCTATATTAATCAAATATGGCTTTTTTAAAATAGTTAGACTGCCTATTGTAAATACAAAATATGTATACACTTTAAATTTCTCCCTTTCATGATATTACTTCTTAGCGTGTACTAGACCTGGGGTCTACTATATGGTTTAAAAATTGGTGGAATGTAACAGACCCGGATCTTGTATATGGCACTTTACAGTATTTGATAGCTAATATATATAATTGTATTAACAGAATAACTCAAATTATTTCTATATTTATATCATCATTATTAGAGCTTGTATCCATATAAGAATTACCTAGATAATCTGGTTAACACCTGTCAACTAGGTCAAATCTAGATTAAGAGTGTTAGGCCTAATTTTAATTGTATGTCTTTTTTTGAAGTGTTATTTATCATTTGATTTTTTGTAAATAGTAAAATTCCCCCTCCTTTAAATAATTACAATTATATATAAATATATACATGTGATCTATTAGCTTGATATTTTGGCACCCACCCCTGCTAAAAAAATCAGATGATAAATGATACTTCCCTAATTATCCATAAACATAATAATGCCATTAACTATTAAACATGACAACACACGTATATTTATATGTATAGAAACTTTGCATGATTAACTAACATATATAATTTCTTTAGAGTTCTAATCCGGATAAATCCATCTGTGTAATTGTCTGAATAATTCAAATCATTCAGATTTAGGATAATCTGACTGATATTCGGAAAATTACCCAGATATCAATAGTAAATGGATAGAAATAGATATCCGAATAAATTCAGATCCGGATATCGGATCTCTATATCTTATAATAAAGAATTACTATTGCTATAAAATCTTTAAAACTGCAATATATATGGGTTGTTGCATAGCAAAACCATGATTAGAGTATATATATTTTATATGTTCTAAGCATGGTTTTGCAGTGCGACAACCCATATATTGTAAGTGGAAACGGAATTTATATAAAAAAAAACCATTTCAGGGTTGATTTTAACATATGTACATCCTAGGAAATTCCAAAATTTGCATATGTATAATAGGTAACCCGGTTATTTAGATGACCTAGTTTATAATCCGGTAATAATTTTGTAGCTCAAACTTTGTACCGGGTACAACTGTTATTGGATGCTACGCAGCCAATATCTTGTTTATAAACCAAATAATGGATTTTTTTACACAATAATATATATAGATATATATATGGGTTGAGTCAATAGAAATCAAGCAAATATTTTTTAATAAGCTTTTTTAAAGGGTAACTTAACAAACACTTAATCAAATTTAATCAAATTTATTTTTTAAATTAATTCTTCAAGTTTGTAAAATTATTTAAAAAAATAAAGTTTTTGTTAAGTTATTCTTGCTTAAAGTTATAAAAATTTTTTATTATAAAAAATTTGCTTGATTTCTATTGACCACACCCCATATATATATATGTTGTGGGAATTATAATTTAATACGTAAAAATTGTCTCTAAATGATTTATTACAGTAAATACAGTAAATAAGTTTATACGTATAATTCTAAATTTATTGGAAATATCGAAGATACTATATATTATAAGTATATAAATTTAAACTATTAAAATAAGAATAAAGTAACAATATAAAAGACGCAATTATGTGTGCGTACGTACGTACGTACGTACCTGCCTGAAGTACGCACACCTATCTATTGTACGTATACAGTACTTCGAAATACTGAATCAGGTAAAGTTATATTAGCATGTGATTATTATTATCTTCGAAAATAGACTACATTAAATGAACTGCTGAATAGAGAGAATGAATCATTGAGAAATAATATTAATCATAATTTTAACATATCTGATATTCTGATATTTGCTAGAATAGTATTCTATAATCTCAGTGTAAAAGGCTTCTTTTTGTGGAAGTTAATTTCTTAACTGTATCCGTGATTACTACTTAAACATCTGCATTGATATAAAAAAGCAAGAAAGATGTTAATTAGCTACAGTATAATTGATTTGTGACCATTACAAATCTGGTAAACAATGAAACTTTATAAAAAATAAAACAATGATAATAATTCGTTCATTAAGAAAAAAAAAAATTGAACCATAACGCATCATATAATATATATATATATATATATAATTCAGCCATAACCATAAATTAGTACCTTGAAATCCACATAAGGATTTCAAAGAGGTGATAAATTTTTTTAAAAGTTTTATTAGTGGTTAGACCGAAATTACGATATTAAAAGTGTTCGGGATTGAATCGAGCAGATACTATATTTGGAACGGATGAAAAGTAAAGATGGGTATATTCAATTCTTTACTTCTTTGGGAACGCAAAATTATGCAAAGTTATATAAGTAAATATAAAAAAAAACATTGTTTTTATCATGCAATATGAAATTAAGTATAACAGCATGTCTTGTGTGTATAAGAGTAATGAGGTTGAATAATTAATTAATAAAACAATTAAGGGAACAAAAAGTATAATTAAATTTTGACGTTGGAACTCTTTTTTGATAGGTCAAAAAAAAAACCAACTATTTTTCACTCATCCGGTAGTTTGTAATACTATTTTAGGCTCTGCAACTTTAGGCTCTGCGGCTAATTTAATTTTTTAATTAAAGTTGACATATAAGGAAATATGTGTTAGGTTTTTTTTTTTGCAAGTTTTTCGCGCATTTCTGAATATAGGTTCAAAGGATCTTGGAGAAAAGCTGTGTTGAATTGAATTATGCATCTGATCAGACTGATGTTAAGAATATTATTATTATTATAATAAAGAGAATATATTTACACGCGAAAATTATGCATTTGAAAATGTATTTATATGCACATATTTCAGGCTTTTTTTTTTCTTTGTCACTTTTATTCCTCCTCCCTATAATATATCTCATTCATTCCTTTAGACACACTCTTTTGAGTAATATAACTGAGATAAAATGGCTATCACTAAACCCACATTAATTTTTTTAACGGCACTCTTCATTATCCAGGTTTGAAATTTTATGATTAATTTTATGTTTAAAAACTCATTAGTGTTTTACTGATCGTGTTTAGTTTATTATAGATCATTAATGTTCGTGGTGGCAGCATTTTCTCTGGTTCCGGCGAAGTTCCGCCATATGGCGGTATATGGTATGCGTGTAGTAACTTTGACACAACTTATATAAGTAAGTTTTCTATTTACACATTAGACGCAATCTAATAAATATACTATTATATTTAAATAACTTTTATCGAATTAAAAATATTTTATAATGATTTATAGGTTTCAGTCTACGCGTTTCCAACACATCTCTAAATGTAACACCCGGTTTCTTAGGCACAGTCGTACCTGGACAATCGCCACGCAGCATGCCTAATTACATTCCTGCACTTATAGCTTTTGAAATGACTGCCGACAACGTAACACTTTTTGCTTCCAACCTTACTGGAACGAACTTCAAATACATCCCTTCGTTGTCTTGCTATGAAACGCCAGTTCAATCTTGTGATCAGGATGTTGGTGATTTACCATTAGACGATAACGTTTCTCAATGTTTGGCGTTACAAAATCCAACCGCACAACCAGTATACTTCAATTTAAGTATTAGTTGGATTAAAAGTGTGTTTGTCTCCAATTTCACGAGTCCTGATGTTCCAGGGGGACATGAATCTCTAAAGAGCATTGCAGTTTCTAGCAAACAAGTTTATGGATTTACACAAGTCTTTATTTGTACTTTTATGGCCCTTGTTTTTAGTAAATTTTTGCATTAGCGTTAGTACAGCACTGAACTTTTCTGATTATATATGTATATTACTTTTTTTGTAATTATTTGTTTTATTTGTACAATATATCTCATTTAGGCAAGCGTCATTATTCAGATTAAAAAAAAAAAAGATATATGCATACGTACGTATCAGAAAATACTTGTTGAGCACGTTTAAAACAACGATCAATTGTTTGCACTATATATACATATCGATAGCGATAGAAAAATATATAAGTTATAGTTTAAATAAAATTATATACATATACATACTCTCGCTCAGAAATTGCGTTAAATCATAGTTGTTAGAAATAATTTTTACTTATCATAATTATAATATAACATATATAATATAATATATAGAAAGTATACATTTTTGGATTTGATTAATGAATTTATCCATCAATAGCGATAGTAAAAAATTGCGAATTAAATTTAATCGCAAAGATGACGTGCAATTCGCAACCTAATTTTTATAAATCAACTTTTTCTGGGAATCTATTCATTTGGTAGAGAAACATTATAGTAGCGAGTTACTATTCATGGCTAACTCAAGTTTTCTTACAGTACGCCCAAAGGTAAATCATATCGGAGATTAAATTTGTATATCTTTAAAGCCTTATCTTCCTCATGTTTCCTAGTCATTGTGGCTTTCTAATTACCTGGTTTGGAATTCCCTGAAATTAGTTAATCACGAGTGAAACATATTGTCGCCCACTCTGACATTTTAATTCACCGAAAAAGATAATTCATGCATCGTCAAAAATAGTTAATGCATTTTATCCTGAGTTTTCTATTTTAAATAAAAGCATCGAAATTTTGCTAATATATATATTTCTTTTTCATTCCTTGGATCATCTCTTTCGTTCCTCGGATCTAAAGATATATATATTGGATTTTTATTCAAAACTCATGATCAATTTCTCTTAGAATCTATTTTATTATTTTTATAGAAAAAAAAATGTCGTCTGATAAAGAAAAGTCTCTATCACATACAGCCATTCCAATATCTCGTCATGAAACTTCACAAATACCACCATCGTCAAAGTCTAAATTCTTTTTTCTATTTACAAAAGAATTCTTTTTCATCCTCTTATGGGGTCAATTTATTTCATTGTGCTGCACGGGTTCAATTGTCATTGTCACCGCTTTAACAATTAATCATCATATCAGTTTACCTGCAACTTTGAGTTTTTTTATGTATACAACTTTGACTCTTATTTATACACCTATTACAATTTATAAAAATGGTATACGTGCGTACTTGAGAATGCTTAAAATTCGAGGATGGAAATGTAAGATATTTCTTTACTTGTTAAAAAAATGATACGTACAACCACGTGACATGTTCTTTTCCTTTTTTAGATTTTTTGCTTGCGTTTGTAGACGTAGAAGCAAATTATTTTGGAATAAAAGCTTATGCTTATACATCTATTCTATCTACCATTTTACTTGACGCTTGGTCAATTCCAGTATGCGTGATATTATCAATATTATTTTTACGCGTAAAATATCATTGGTCTCAATATTTAGGTGTGGGAATTTGTTTGGCTGGAATTGGTGTTTTGATTGAAGCTGATTTTAAAAGTGGAAAAGATATGTATTATGGTGAGTTTTAATATTTAAATAAATTCATATATTTCAATTTTCTTTTAACAAATTATATTCTTATTTTATTTAAACAAATTATATATTCCAATTTTAAAAAAAAGCGGTGGATCCGATTAAGGGTGATATACTTTGTTTAATAAGTGCAACTTTTTTCGGAATATCTAATGTTATTGAAGAGTATTATGTGAGAAAACGACCTGCTTATGAAGTATTGGGACAAATGGGATTTTGGGGAATGATTATTAGTGGAATTCATGTGTAAGATCAAAAGTTATCGTGAATCTTGTGTGTTGTGTGTAAAAATTAATATTTCCATTAATTTCTTTTTTGAAAGAGCAATTTTAGAACGATCCGAATTGACAAATGCTGCATGGACTGGACCTTCAAGTATTTATCAATCTTGAATGTCAATTCCCGAATTATAATTTAAAATTTTTACTTTTCATTTCTAATTCTTTATAATTTACAAATAGTTAGCCTCGCTATCTCTTTTGTTGTAACTACCATAATGGTATATGTGGGACTTCCATTACTGCTCCGGTTATCCTCTGCAACGTTTTTTAATCTTTCATTCCTTACAAGCGATTTTTACACTTTGATATTTAGTTGGTTCTTATTTAAAACTGTGGTATGCATTTAAAAATTGCTTTCATCTAAATATATATATATATTTTTAATTGATTTTTTTTAAAAAAAATAAATAGATGCACGTACTATATCCATTAGCAGCAGTCTGCACTATATTGGGTCTTTTGGTATTTTATATTTATCCAGCGACTCAACCAGTTATTAAATGCGATGACGAAGACAGTATAGAATATGTTGTTTCAGATGAAGAAACGGCAGCGACAAATACTTCTGAATCGGTCAGAGCATTAAATCGTTCTTTATAAATACTTATTATAGCTAGAAAGAGTTATGATTTTCCTAATTGTATGTATTTAAATACAATAGTTTGCGCAATGACAGCAATAAATTTAAATTTCTTGTTTTTTTAAGTTTGTTAACAGAATTATATCTTGGTTAAAATTTTTTATTTATGAAAATTTGAACAAGGTCTTTAATTAATATCATGTGTTTATTTACAGTTTAGTACTTTTGGTCATATCAATCTGTTATGTCGATCATATACGTATTCGAAAACGGGGAACATAAATTATTAAAATATTCTATATTTGAGAACATTTAATAAATTTTTTAACATTAAAAAATAAATTATTTTAATTGTTCTATGTAAAGAATTAAAAATTTTTTGAGAACGTTAAAAACTGTTCTCTTTTGAGAACATATCCAAATTTGGTTTTTAAACACTGTTGGTCACAAAAAATCTTTTATACGTATAATTTTTAATTCACAAGATCGAATTGTACTATAATATTGCAGATCTATATAACGTCTCGTACAATACAAGTTTCCTAAAATACATATTATAACAGAAAAATAAGCTATCACTATTGTCTGACTTACCAATCAATTTTGATTAGTGCTAAGATAATTTAACTAAATTTAGCTAAATTTAAAATGTACCAATAAATTAAAGCCAAGTTTAATTAACTGTTAAAAACATATATAAATATCTAACATTCTTTCAGAGGGCATTCGTTTCTCTTTTCTTTCAACAACCCTAAATAAGATAACTCTATATTATTATAAAAGAACAAAGATAATATAAAGTTTACAAAATTTAATTCCAAAATTTAATCCAAAATTTAATTCATATAAATTATATTGATAAACACTAATTCATAACGATAAACAACTAATTCATAATTACAATAACCCTATAGAAATAACTGTATATTAGTATTAATACAATGTCTATAATAAAATGTCAATATCATATATAAAATTGTAAATAGAGTTTAATATAATATTAAATGAATATGAGATATATTAAACCAATGTTCCTTTATCCATCAATCAGATTTGAGTACGTACGTACAGTACGTACATATTTTGTCCGTACCTGGTACGTACGTACTATACGTATCGGTATGTGATAATAAGTAAAACTTATTAACTTGAAAACGTATTAGGATTGTAATTTTGTGTTCCATGTTCTTCAAGCGACTCTGGAGCAAAATAACAATCACTTGGTGAATGAGAAATATTATCTTCAGAGTCGAGTCGAAAATTAAAAAAATCTGTAGCCAAGTCGCTTAGGGGTGAATTAGGAATATTTAGGGGTGAATGAGGGATATTAAAGTCTTGTGGAGTTTGTAGAAAAGGTGATGTAAAAAGAATCGGAATCTCCGTATAGGAATTAGCATCTAAATTAATATCATATTGAACACTTTCAAGACTCAAATAACCAGTTTCTTCATTATAAAGAGGATGTAGATAATTATCCCGAAAATTGTTGGGTGGAAGGTTTTGTTGTAAATCGTTTTGAGGGAAAATGCCAAAAGCATTATAATTGTCTTCAGTTTCAGTCACTTCAGAATAACCACTGGCCTGGGGGAAAATGCCAAGAGCATTATAATTGTCTTCAGCTTCAGTCACTTCGGAATAACCACTGGCCCGACTTCGATTGTCACAACTGGAAGAACGTGAGCGACTAATAGGAGATGATCGTAAGTCGTCTTGTCGTCTGTGCCGATTATCTCTACTTGAAGAACGTGAACGAGGGCCCCGTTTTTTTTGAGGTTTGTATACGCATTCATTCTCTTGCTTTTGCTTAAGACACCTCTCACATGGATAATCCCCTGAACATTTAACTTTTGATTTTTTACAAAGTTGGCAAGCCGCTTTCACATATTTCCTGCGGCTTCCAGTTCGTTTAACGTTAGCGTTTGACGATGTAGGAGTAGATGATAATTGAGAAAAGTTATTATCATTAGGAGCCGATGGTAATTGAGTAGAGTTTTTGTTGGAAGCTATTGGAAACATTTTTAAAATTTATGTTAAGTTAAAAAATTGTGTTTGATTTAGTTTTTAAATTAGTCACCGCACCGTTCTTTATATACGTTTTTATTACTGCGTTGTCGGAATAATTTTGCGTTACATTGTGAAATGACGTTTTTGTCCAGATGTTTCATTATAATCGGACATCTGTTAAAACCTTAAAGATAATAATTTCAATATTAATCACTTAACAGAGACCTATAATATCAAATTTGGCTTTAGTATTTTAAAACTATCTCTTTCAACTATGGAGCCCTATTTTAAAGGCGGTTTTTAAAAAGGGAAGAGTCGAGAACAAATCGAGAACAAATCAACCCATACTGTTACACAAAAAATCACGAACACATAATAAAAATAAATGACATAATAAATGCCGATGGAATGTTCCATACCTTCCATACCTTCCATGTCATGTGTAAAAATCATAATATTTTTTAATTTACACAAATTTGGTTAACTCAATTTTCGGAATTTTTATTGTCTTACAGTTTCAGATTCTTTAAACAAAAAAAAAAAAAAAAAATCCAAAAATAAATCATAAGTTACGTACTTTTTTTTAGAATTAATATTAATAATTGATTTGGTAGAATAATTACGTTTTAAGAAAATAGCAATTTTTTTATACGTTATTAATTAATCAATAAATTTATCCTCACATTTCTGTCTGAATTCCTTGTCAGTTTGACGGCTACAAATCGACTATAATTAAAATTCCATACGATCATTATAAACTATAAGATTTATTAGTGTTGGACAGCAAATCAGGATTGACTTATAATTACAAAATGAAAACGAAACTCAAATTTCTGGAACTGGTTTCAATAAGCTACTGTACCCCAATATGGTCAGAATAAAGTCCGGAAATGGCATTTATGCAAAATTATACGTATAATTCCCTACTTCGTAACTCTAAACCTTAATGGATTTTCGGAAATTAAGAATTCCAGGTTTACCTTGGCAGGTGACGTTATCGGCTTGTATATTTAACTATTATAAAAACCGATTAATGAACATCTCTAGTCACATGATTATTGCACCAACATTATGAAAGTTTTGGCCAGTATTATCACTACGTTCAGAGCTATAATGATAACTTTTATTCAAAAGTATAATGAAATTTTGGTTCACGTTCATAAAATTACGTAACCTAGATGTGTTACGTAATATAATGGGTCACATTATGACACTATACGTATCAATGAAATAATTATGATATGACATACTGTATAGCTCTCCTAATTAAGAAGTAAACGTATGTAAAGCCAAATTGACGTAAGGTGACTTTATCCTTATTTGATATATTCGGAAAAAATTTAAAAAAAATTTTTCGAATGTACGTAATAAGTTATTTTCAAACTTTACCGTATAATTTTATTTATTTTTAGATGGACAAGCTAGGAAATTCAATTAAAAGAGGTTAGATTGAGAAAAAAAAAATTAGTGCATATATATATAGTTATAAAGCCAACTACGTATTTATTTTTCATAGGACTTATTATTGGTCGATGTCACTTTTTGAGAACGTAAAAATAATCTTATCAGTTATTTTTACGTATTCTACGTATAGGCATATAGAATTAAAATAAAACAATTCCATCAAATTTGGTTATGTGGTGTCGTAATGTTACTATGCTATTTTATGCTAGAAATAGCCGGGCAGTCTGGTACGTTTAGGACTGTGTTAATAATATATAGACCAAAGACGTTAATGCGAAGGGTAATAGATAAAAGTAAGGTTATAAGAATTTCTCATTAATAAAAAGATTTTCTTTTGACGGATACAAATGGTAATAACCAAAGAAATATAAATGGTATATATTGCTTAATTAATACTATATCTTAGGAATACGTAGTACCGAAGGCAGTAATTAAAAAGGGGTTTTTACTCGAATACATATATACTTAATAAAGACAATTAACTGTTAATGAAAGATAATTAATAGCCTGCTTTATCAATTCGTCTCGACAATCATATGGATGATATTTGAACTACGTACAAAAGGAATTAGATTATCCTTGTATATAAACGATATTTGATATAGCGATAAGGTAACGGAATAAAAACTATTTATAAATATGTATGTCTGAAAATAGATTAAACCATTTTAAATACTATCGGAACAATGAAGTTCATTAAAAAGGTCAATTGTTAATCGTCGTATACTTTTTCCGATTGGAAGCCGAGTTTTATTCTCGATGCAACAGTCTAACTTGATTAAATGGTTGGAGTTAAAAAAGGAAAACAAACAATTTCAAAAATTTGAAAGTTTGCACATCTTAAACATAGCAGCGCGTGTGGTTTAGTGGTATAATTGCCGCCTGCCACGCGGCAGACCCGGGTTCAATTCCCGGCGCGCGCATAAGCTTTCTTTTTTTTTTCTCGTTATTTATTATATAGAATTGCCAAAATTTTTAAAAAGATATTTTTTACGGATTAATTTAATTAAAAACCATTATAATGATTATGGTGGGTTTGCTAATTTTCCCCACTACTTCACTATCTAAGTAATTGCCCGGAGCGAAGCGGAGGACACTCCGTTTTTATGACAGCGTTGATCATCGGGTCACGTGAAGTTGCCGTCCGTTTTTATGAATGCTGATTGGTCGAGTATATAATACTAGGCTAATGATGGTGTAGTCATGTATCGTTTTTGATTAATTGCTATTTTATCTCAAACCATGCATCAAAATCGTAACTATTGTTGCACTTTATTCGTCCATTAGGCGTCCTCCGCTGCATCCACTTATTTGCGCCGGTAATACAAACCTCTAAAAAGGAAATGCCCAATCAGAGAACACAAATTTCACAAATTTCAGGTATTCCGGATCAGCCCGAACACGTGCGAAAGCAAAGAAAACGAAAATACTCAAATACTAGTGTTTAAATTGAACTTTGTGGACTAATAAAAAATAACGGGAAGAAAATTTTACATATAGAAAACTCCAACTTATCGCTAAAGCTCACAACCTTAACGTACTAATCCTAAACTTCTATTTTTACGCACTTAGTTTATTTACAAAACTGATTTCCTTTTTTGGTTTGTATTACCGGCGCAAACAAGTAAATCGGTCCTCCGCTACGCTCCAGACAATTATATATACGTATGAATGATGCTTACCAATAATACAGACCCTTACTATTGTATATACAACTAGTGCTACAAATCGTCAAAAATTTAGCAATCGATTAGTTGTCAACTTTCGATTTTTATTCGATTTTAATATAAGTTGCCAAAAATTTTTCAATCGATTAGTTGCGATTTTCGATTTTCGATTTGTAGCACTATATACAACTACGAACTAGAAATAATATCCAAAATTTCAATTTATTATTTTTTTAATTAGTTTTTAATATGATTTTAATATAAAACTAATTAGTATATATATATAGATAATGAATAATTAGTAGAACCAATCAGAAGTGGTGAAATTAGTAAAGTCAATAGTAAACTCGATTATGGTTAGAGATACGTTTGGACAAATTTTGGTTAATATCTCAAAAACTTTAATACATTTTAATTAAGCAAAATACTTAACGCATAATTTTAAAATACGTATATATATATATCGCTTTATATATATAATTTTTTAACTTTTGTTAAATATATCAATTTCTGAACTTGAATATGCTAAAAAAAATGATCATCGAAAATGTACAATACTAATAATCGAACTTATTCAAGTAACTTAAATTTATTCTTGTGACGGCTGATGCTGAATATCATGTGATATTTCGGGCCGGAAATTGCAGATCGTGCCACGTATCGATCATGCCGTACGTACCATTCGGCCCAGAAATTGGTACTAGATTTCAATTTTTTGTGTACCACAAAAAAACACATTTCAGTAGAAGTTCAATAGATTTATCATGTAATTTATTGCAATAAAGTTATATGATGCTAAAAACACTGAGATCTTTGATCTTTCACATCATCCTAGATTTACCAAGTCTTAATGCTGACCCTAACCTAACTCTAATGATGGTACTACCTCAGTTTTTTTTTGTTATTTTTTTCATTTAGCCCTAGTTTTGCTTTTCTTCTCTAATTCATATGATTTTTTTTTGATCTTCTTCAATTCTCTTTTTTTTTGTTTATTTTTCTTTATTTGTTTCTCTTTTCTTCGATTCTTTTTCTTTATTCAATTTTTTTTTTTTTTTTGATTCCTGTGACTTCTTTTCTTCAATTCTCTTTTTCTTCAATTTCTTTTTTTTTTCAGTTCCTTTTTCTTTTTTTTTGATCCTCTTTTTTTTTTGATTCCTGTGACTTCTTTTTATTATATCCTTTTACTTTTTTTCTTTGTTTCCCTTTTCTTTGACTTCTAATTAGGCGAACAATATTATATTTCCATTTTTCATTGTCAAAACAATTGTGCTCTAAACTAACCCTAACTCTAATGAACTAAACTAACCCTAAGATTATCTTTTTTTGATTATCCTTCTTTTTTTGTTTACCTTTTTTTTTTGTTTTTTTTTGTTTTTTTTGTTTTTTTTTCATTTAGATGACTTTGATTTTGTTAACAAGAACTCAGATCTCCTTGCCATCTACTTCTATAATCACTATGCAATTGTTAGATGTCAATGCTTTGAACACACCCTGTTGTGAAAATGTTAGCTAAAGCTTTTGCTTTCATATTTTTTGGTTTGTATCATGATTTGGTGCAATAGTAACCATGGTCCCGGCTTCAATTGTATTGTTCAGAGACTTTTTTTTATGAATGCTACTCTTCTTACACATTTTATCCCAAGTTTTCTCTAGTAATGCATTAATAGTTTGTTGAATTTGCAAACCATATGAAATATATTAGTCAATGATCTCAAGTGTAATATCAATGTCATTACAATTAATCTCTTTAAAAATATTCTGCAATATTCCGGGGGTATCATAAATATAGTACATTTTCTAACCAAATATCACCTGGTGTAGTGTATGACTATGTGCTTCATATATGAAAGAATTATATGATACAATAAAGTAGGGTTTCTA